ACAAAGGCATTTGACAGTGTGGAAAGTTACAAATTATAGCTAACAATGAGAAGAATGAGGATTCTAGAACACTTATTTGTACTTGTGCAAAACAGATACCTAGACCAAGAGGCTGTTGTGTGAACAGAGCAAGGAAATACTGCATAGGTTAAAATTAGAAAAGATGTGCATCAGATCTCCATACCTGTTTAATCTATATGATGAGCAATTTATTTGAGAAATTGGATTCTAACAAAAACTGTAGTATCCAGATTGGAGAAATACTCATTAATAGTCTTTGTTATGCAGATATCACAACTTGCTTGCTGAAAGTGAAAAAGACTTGAAGCACTTGCTGCAGAAGGTTAAACACTGCAACCTTCAATATGGATTGCATCTCAGCACCAAGAAAACAGAAGTCTTTATCACTGAGCCAATAGGAAACATCACAATGGATAGAAAAAGGATTGAGACTGTCAACAACTTCTTCTTATTTGGATCCACAATATATACAGTTGGCATTTGTAGTGAGGAGATCAGGAGACATATTGGACTTGGAAAGTCTATAGTCAGGGACTTCTTCGAATTATTAAGGAGTAATAATGTGTTATTACTTAGTTATTAGTTTGAGGCCTAAGGTATACCTGATCAAGGCCATAGCTTTTTTCAATCACTGGCTTTGCATTTGAGAGCTGGACAATGATTAAGGATGACAAAAAGAGAACTGATGCCTTTGAGCAGTAATGTTGGAGAAGAGTGATGAAGATTTCATGAACTGCTCAAAGAATAGACATATATATTGGAGAGAAGGTGCTCCTTGAAAGTAAATCTTGTCTCACATATTTTGGGCATGTTGCTAGGAGAGGTTTTTCTTTGGAGAGGGATAGTATGCTTGGGAAGATGAAGAAGTGACTAAAGAGAGAAAGATCTTCAGCCAGCTGGGTTAACACAGTCACTGAAGCAATGGGCTTGGCTATGTTAGAGATTGTGTGGACTGCATTAGATAGAAAAGTGCTCAGAGTAATTGTTTATAGGTTCGCAAGGAGCTGTACTTGACACAATAACACCTATTAACAACAATAGTAACAATAACAAAGACATTTGACTGGATCACAGTAAATTATAGTTAATATTAAGAAGAATGGGAATCCTAGAATATTTAATTGTGATAATGCAAAAATCTATACCTAGACCAAGAAGATGTTGTCCAAACAGAGAATAAGAACACTGAATGGAATTCCAAAATCTCTGTAGATGTTCATTGAAATGAAAAATAAACAAACTAAATTAATAAAAGAAAGAACATTGCATGGTTTCAAATTAAGAAAAGTATGCATGAGTATTGTATTCTTTATACATATTTAATATCTTTTTTGCAAAAAATTCATATAATAAGCAAACTTTATGAAAAAAAAGGAGCATCAGGATTGGATGAAGACTCATCAATAGCCTCTGTTAGGGAGGTAATCCAATTTTGTTCAAAGTGAGGAAGACTTGAAGCACTTGCTGTGGAAGATGAAAGACTACAGCCTTCAATATGGATTACAGCCCAACGTCTAGAAAACAAAAATCCTCATCACTGGGACAAGAGGCAATAACATCATAGTTGGAAAAAAGATTGAAATTGTTAACTATTTCATCTTACTTGGATCCAGAGTGAATACTTTTAGAACTGTTGTTATTCATTGCCTTCAACTCAAGCATGACTCAGAGCGACCCTATGAACAAAAGGCCTGAAGCCCCTCAACAACTATTGACATTTATCAAAGTTCATAGAGTTTCTGGAGGCTTGTTGTTTAGGAAGTGGATGCTGCTCCTGCTTCCACCCTTGGTATTGTTGTTGTTGTTGTTATGTGCCATCGAGTCGCCTGCGACTCATACGACCCCATGTACAACAGCCCTAAACTCCGCTCTGTCCTGTGCCAATCGCACGGTCTCTGACACTCCCATTCCAATTATCCCAGTCACTGAATCAATCCACCTCAT